CTCTGGTCCTCATCTCAGCTGTGTTTTGCCTTCCCCCCACCCCACCCCGCCATGAGCTGTTGGGAACTTCAGGTGACACATTCCTTTGATGGCGCCCTCCTCTCTGAAAAGTGGCCCTGTTTCCTGATATTCTTTCTCCACCCAACTTCCTGAGTAATTCTGAGTCTGCCCCCTCCTCCCCTCCCACATCCCCGCCCTGGCCTGGCTCCTCCATCTTCCCAGCCCCACTCACTCCCCGTGTCAGCTTCCCAAGGCTGCCAGACGCAGCGCCATGCATGGGCGACTCAGAGCATCCGAAACTTCTCTGGAAGTTCTTGAGGTTAGAAGTCCAAAATCAAGATCTGTGGGCAGGGCCGTGTCCCTCGAAACCTGCAGGGAGCCCCCCCTGACCTCTTCCGGCGTCTGGGCTGGCCAGTGCGTGTCCCTCGGCTCACGGCCGCATCTCTGGGTCCCCCGTCGTCACTGGCCTTCTCTCTGTGTGCCTGTCGCTGCCCCAGTGCCCCTGATTTGTAAGGACACAGTCATACTAGATTAGGGCTCATCGTAGGAGCTCGTCTTAACTCCGTCATCGGCAAAGACCCAATTTCCAAATTAGGTCACAGTCCCGCCCTGGAATCAGGACTTCAGTCTATCTCTTTGGGGACACATTTCAACCAATACACCCCCTCGAACCCGCCCTCCCCGGGGCAGCCCACGGGGCAAAGCACACACCCAGCCCTGTCCTTCATCTGCTCGAAATCCTCCCAAGACAACGGAGTATTACTCGGCCATGAAAAGGGACGAAGCACCGACACGCCACACGCATGAACCTCGAAAACACGCCGAGTGAGAGGAGCCACGAAAGACCCTGTAGTGTAAGAGTCCCCGGGAATGAAACGCCGGAACAGGCGCATCCCCAGAGGCAGGAAGTGGACTGGTGGTTGCCTGGGTTTGGGGGCCGAGGGGGGTGTCTGCCGGGGGTGGACGGTTTCTTTCTGGCTGATTGTGGTGACACAGGCACAACTCAGCGACGGATCTGAAGCCGTCCAAGCTCACACTTTAGACCAGTGGTTCTCAACCTTGGCTGCACGTTAGAATCCACCTGGGAATCTTTTTCAAATCCTGATTTCTGGGCCTCATCCTCCGGAAATTCTGTTTCTTTGTGATGGGGTGAGGCCACAACATTAGTAACAAAGAAACAGAATTTCCTGAGGATGAGGCCCAGAAATCAGGATTTAAAAAAGATTCCCAAGTGATTCTCACGTGCAGCCAAGGTTGAGAACCACTGCACTAAGTGGATAGATTTCACCAGCTGGGAACTCTCCCCCGCCCCCGCCCCCCCAAAGCTGCCACAAAGCAAGCTCCTTCCCGGTTCCCCAGCGCCCCCCGGAGGCGCCACACTCCGATGGCGTCTGAGCTGGAGGATCAGTGTCCTGGGCGCACAATTCACAAGAGGCTACGGCCACACAGAGAGGGGCGCTGCCATGGACACACAGAAGGAGGCGCCGCTATGAAGACCCGCGTTGCCACAATCCCACCCAGACACACAGCAACGCCCAGAGTCACCAAGCCACACACACACACACACACACCCTCCCCCAAAGTGCAGCGTGGCAGCCGGCCAGGGACCCCGACATTCCTCGGGGACACCCACACCCCGTTCAGCAGCAGGCGCAGCTGTGGCCACGCTCCTGGCGGCGCCCACTAGCCCCACAGCCCTCCCCAGAGCAGCCCACAGACCCCAGCAGCCACCACACCATGTCGCACAGG